TGTTCTGTCCTGCTTTCCTAATAGGCAGCTGGAAGATCAGCCCCATGAACTCTGTGTGTCTGCTAAAAACAGACAGACAGGCAAAACATTGAACAAACATACATATACAATATCCATTTTCTTTATTAAAACAAAAAATCACAATTACATCTTGTGCATTTCGTGTAGTTGGTTCTCGTGAAATAATGTGCCTGAAAATGTAATTTAATTTAATGTAATTTGACTGTTTAAACTCAAATTTAAATCACTTAAATGTATGTGAACTCTGACACATTTTTAAAACATTTTTATTTTTCAGACCTTTAAATGTTTTCTATTATTTTTTTTTTATATTTAAAATTATTTAAAATATTTGACATTCTAAAACATTATTTTATGATATCAATATTTTAATTCAGTTCACTAGAATACTTTTATTTTATAAAATTGAAAATGTGTGTCCATTATATTATATTATATTATATTATATTATATTATATTATATTATATTATATTATATTATATTATATTATATTATATTATATTATATTATATTATATTATATTATATTATATTATATTATATTATATTATATTATATTATATTATATTATATTATATTATATTATATTATATTATATTATTATTCAATCCCAGAATGCATTGTGATGAACTTTTATCCAAGATGGCTGACAGAGTTGAAGCAAAGTTTGTGTTGATTTTAAATATATTTTCATGCATTTTAAATATAATCAGCACAGAAATATTGATTAAAAACAATTACAATTATACATAATTTAATTATTTCACATGTTAATATACTTGTATAGTTGGAAATATTTGGATAAAGGTAAACATTTTAAGCTTGCTGATGGAAGGCCTGAACAAATAACCTCCTGGAATACATGAATTATTAATAAAGTGGACATTTCTATGAAGATGGGCGGTGATGAACTGAGGTAAGCAGCTGTTTATGTGTTTACTCTAGTGTTGTGATTGACAGGTCTAGATGAACATGCTTCTATTGAACTCTTGTTTAGTTGCTCTGTGTATTCTGTGTATTTTTAATGTAATGTATTTTTTTTTTAAAGTGGCAGGAAGTCATTTATTGTGAATGAGAGGTTGACTTGGTCATTAGGTTTTGTAAAGGAGCCGCTGATGATTTATGAGCCGTGGACTGAGCTGAAAGGTCTATGATCTATAATTAGACAAGTATTCCAAATATCATCTTGCGTTAGTGTGAACCTCTTCTTGCACATGTTTTGTGAAAGTGTGCCGGTCACAATCACCTGACATGAGCTCAAGTTACACGCGGCTCTTGGACTGTTGTAGGTTTATTAACCCTGTAAAGCCTGACATGTGAAATAACAGTCTAAAAAACAACGTGAAATGGAGTTTATTGAGACTTTTGACAAAATATTTTATTTATTTATTTATTTAGTCATTTAGCAGATGCTTTTATCCAAAGCGACTTACAAATGAGGACAATAAAAGCAGTCAAAACTAACAAAAGAGCAACAAGATATAAGTGCAAATGACAAGTCTCGGTTAGCCTAACACAGTACACGTAGCAAGGTGT